ACCCCCAGGCCTGCCGGCAAAGCCAGGTTTTGACGGCTTTTCGGAAGGCCTGGAGAGAGGTATGTTGTGGAATTTTAAATAATTGTATTTCTATTTTAATTTTTATATATTCCCTTGTTTGTTTGTAAGCTGCCCAGAGTCCCTAGGGAGCGGGCGGCATACAAATGTCAATAAACTTCCAAACTTCCAAACTAAAGCTCTCTACAAGAATGTGAACCACTAACAGTCAAAGCAAATTTGCATAGATAAGAGTCAACAGAATTCACGGTGGGCTGGACTTAGTAGCTCTCTTGTGGGCGTAAAGGGACTCATGACTGATGGCGTGTTTGACTCCTCCCTTGTGTTCAGCCTGGTCACCTGCTACAGTGGGTGGATGATTTCACTATGTACTTGATGAAACATGGAGGGCTTTGAGAGGAAGCAACCATGGTGAAGACAGTATGTCATATGCTATTCCAGTATTTCTCACCTTCAGTAACTTTCAGATGGGTGGATTTTAATTCTCAGAATTTCTCAGCCAGTTGAAAGTTCTGAAAGTTGCCAAATATTGTTGTGTCTTAAACTCAATGGTAATCAAATGAAAGAAGACTTCATGTAGTTGCAGTTCAAAAGAATATCATCTGAATGTTTTAGGTTTTGTCCTTGTAAATATATTTATAAAACCCAATACTTTATCCCCAAACTTAGTATGTGTAAAGTGTTGTAAAAACATGTCTTTTAAACAAGCACTATCTTATTATTTCTATCTTGATCGACTCGGGGTTTGTCAAAAACAGCCTTTTGTTGGAGAGTCCATATCCTTAGCCCTTAGCAATCAATTTTAGCAGAGTTGCAAATATTTTCTTTTTAACATCACAGGCTTTTGCACAGCAAAAATATCCTGAAGTTACTTTTCCTTCTTCTGGATTTTACTCCGCTAGTCATTATCCACTGTAGGGGGTGGTGCTCATCTCCGTTTCAAGGCTATTGAGCCAGTGCTGTCCAAAGACATTTCTATGGTCGGGTGACCAGTATGACATCATGGAGCACTATTACCTTCCCACTGAAATGGTACCTACTTATCTACTCGCACTTGCATGCTTTCGAACTGCTACGTTGGCAGGAGCTGGGGTGAGGATGGGAGCTCACCCGTGGCATTTGGGTCTCGAACATGGGCTGCAGTGCTGACTTTCCAGCTGACAAACCCAGCATCTTAACTGACACTGTGCCATTATTTTTTCTCTAAAGTAATTGAAATATGGAATTGCTCAGGTTAGCTATCAGAGGAAATTATGGGAATAAATTTATTGTAGTGTCATCAGAATCTCCCTACCATATTTTTCGGAATATAAGACGCACCTTTTTTCCTCAAAAAAGAGTATGAAAATCTGGGTGCGTCTTATACACAGCATTTTTGGCCTCCCAAAACCACGCCCCCTTCACCCAAATGGCCATGCATAGCCTTTAGGAGGCTTCCAGAGTGCTCATGGGGAGTGGGGAGGGCAAAAATGAGTGAAAAATGGGCTGTTTTTTGCTCATTTGTGCCCTCCCCAGCCTCCAGGAGCACCCTATAAGCCTCCTAAAAGCTATGCAGGCTCTCTTTTTTTGACTAAAAATGGGCTGTTTTTGGGAGGCCTGCAGAGTGCAAGAACTTTTTCTTAAATTTGCCTCTTCAAAATCTTGTCTTATACTCCGAAAAATAACGGTAGTTCAGATTTCTCATCTCTCTCCCCCCCCCCTCTCCAAGGCCATTCTACTCTTCTTATTAAGGCCGTTTCGAATGATCTTTTATCTCTCCTTCTGTTTTCCAGGTTGGCATCAATTATCAGCCCCCAACCGTAGTGCCCGGAGGTGACCTTGCTCAAGTGCAGCGAGCTGTTTGCATGCTGAGCAATACCACTGCCATCGCTGAAGCCTGGGCCAGATTGGACCACAAGTTTGATTTGATGTACGCCAAGCGAGCCTTTGTTCACTGGTATGTTGGTGAAGGCATGGAGGAAGGAGAGTTCTCGGAGGCTCGGGAAGATTTAGCTGCATTGGAGAAAGACTATGAGGAAGTTGGCACGGATTCTTTGGAAGAAGAAAATGATGGGGAAGAATTTTAAAAATATAAAAGGGCCCCCAGCTGTGCGTATTTGGGCCACAAATGAAGTTGTCACAAGTCTTTGATGGACGAAAGAAGCATAGTAGTGGAGCTTAATCAATTGCATTCTTGTCTACTCCAGCAGCATATATAAATATATCATCACTCTGTGAAGAGTTTTCCTGCATTTTCTTTCTTAGGCCATACACGTGGTCCTCGACTTACGACCACAACGGAGCCCAAAGTTTCTGTTGCTAAGTGAAACAGTTGTGAGTTGTTCCCCCCTTTTACATGCTTTATTGTCAGAGCTGTTAAGTGAATCATGGCAGTTGTTAAGTTAGTAACAGTTGTTCAGTGAATCTGGTTTCCCCATTGACTTTGCTTGTCAGAAGGTTGCAAAAGGTGATCATATGATCCCGTCATAAATATGAGTCAGATGCCAAGCATCCAAATTTTGATCACGTGACAGTGGGGATCAGATTGGTTCCGGATCCCGTTGCAACTGGGGCTGGGCGTCATAGTCAGGCACATGCACTGCGCACGCCTGCACACACCTCTGCCCTGTGACACCCAGCTGCTCGGTGGAGTTCACGCAGGCGCAGCATGCTGTGCGCGTGTGCGCAATTGCCAATTTGCATCAAAAACCGGTAAGGAATGCCAGCAGGTGGGTGCACCAAACGAGCCACCGTTCCGGTACGGTGGCCACTGCTCCCAGCTACCACCAGTACGCCCGTACTGGGCCATACCTCCCAGAACCCACCACCAGTGGGGATGCTGCATCGGTTGTAAGTGTGAAAAACTATCATATCACTTTTTTCAGTGTTGCTGTAACTTTGAATGATCACTAAATGAACTGTTATAAGTTGAGGACTAGCTGTATAACACAAGAAAAGTGCAGCCTGCCGAGCACAACTATTATAGACATTACAGGTAGTCCTCAAGTTACAGCCACAACCGAGACTGAAATTTGTTCACTAAGCCGTGCAGTTGTTAAGCAAGTCACCATACAGCTGGATGCAATTTGACTATCATTTCTCTTGTGGCTGTTAAGTGAATCTGGCTTCCTCAATTGTTTTATCAAAAGCCGACTGAGAAAAGTCATAAATTGCGAATGCATGATTGCAAGAGGTTGCAACCATCGTAAATTCTGAATTGGTTACCAAGCACCCACATGGCAATCATGTGAAGGTGGTACGACGGTCATAACTTTGAGGACAGATCACAAGTCACTTTTTCTGAGGCAGTCATGATCTCAAACCATTGTTAAATGAATGTTCCTAAATTGAGGGCAAACTGAAGTTGAAAAAGCCTCGGTGGCGCAGTGGTTAAAATGCAGTATTGCAAGCTACTTCTGCTAACTGCCAGCTGCCTGCAGTTTGGCAGATCGAATCTCACCAGGCTCAAGGTTGACTCAGCCTTCCATCCTTCCAAGGTCGGCAAAATGAGGACCCAGATTGTTGGGGGCAATAGGCTGACTCTGTAAACTGCTTAGAGAGGGCTGTACAGCACTGTAAAGCGGTATATATGTCTAAGTGCTATTTCTATTGCTATTCTTTGTTGTGAAAAACACTGGAAGCAAGGATAGTTGGTTGTGCACATTTACACTGAGTATTTGCAAAAGATCACAGAGATAGCAGCTTCATAAGATTAATAAAGGAGCTTTAATATAGCCTGATATTACTTAAAAGTAGATTTTTAAAAACACACCTGGGGGTTCTTCTGGACTCATGTCTCCTGCTTGTGGCAGTTACGACTGCCTTTTGCCCAACTTTGTATTGTGTACCAATTGGGCCCATTCTTGGATCCAGGGACCCTATTCAATTGTTAACTTCCAGCCGGACTATTGCAATATACTCTACATAGGGCTGCCCTTGAAGAATATCTAAACCAGAGGTAGTTTTCAGCCAGTTCTGGAGAACCAGTAGCAGAAATTTGTAGTAGTTCAGAGAACGGGCAAATAGGCTGGCCACAGCTGTGCTTCCTCCCAGCTGATCTTCTTTTGTTGTCCTGCACAGGAGAACGGAGCAGGATAGCAGGTTAGTGGGATGGTGGGGGAATGGGGATTTTGCAGTATCCTTCCCCTGCCATGCCCACAAAGCAACACCCACAAAGCCACACCACGCCCACAAAGCCACACCACGCCCACAAAGCC